GCTCTTGTAACATCAACCATCCGAGTGTCGAGTCGTTTGAAAAAGCAAAAGCTCGATGGACATGCACGTGGTATATAGTAACAGAGGTATCTAGTGCATGAGGCGGTCCATGATCTCGATCAAATACGGAAACTGCTGGTGCAAAGCAATCTGCCGAACGACCTTGAACGTCTTGTGGAGCTGCGACGGCACGTCCGGCGCGATGCCGAGCGTACCTGCAGGAAGCGCTCGATCAACGAAGGTTCTCGTTGTGAAATGCGTACCTGAGCACACGCAGAGCTGGCGCAGATGCCCTTCGGTCGGCAGCTTGCACTTGAGGCACACGACGTCGGTCTGCTGGTACGGCAGAGAGAAGTGGGTCTGAACCAGCTCCACCAGCCGCATCTCGAGGTCGCCCATGTCGTACAAATGGTGGCACCGAGGACATTGCCTAGATCCACATCTGAACCTATTCTGGCACGCACGCATGTACCAGAGAGCGCCCCCAGACGCGTCGTCGGTCTCGTCGCTTTGCGTAGCCTCCATGAGCCCGGGCTCGCGACAGAGGTCGACGTCGCGGCAGACGTTGCAGTTACTGCAAATGATGTCGGGCAACACGAACGACTGACTCGGGTTGGCAAACGCTGCTTCGTCCGCATAATCGCTAGTCGTTCTCAGACTAGATGCTTCTGTAAACAGACAAGGTGTACCTGATGCCCATGGTCTTGAGCAGCGCGCGCTTGAGCTGGTGCACTTGCGACGCGACGTTCGGGTCGAGGCTCCACACGTGGCAGACGCACTTGACGAGCTCGAGCGCAGCGTGCGTCCACGGCAAGTGCGACCCCGCGAGCACCTACACGCTGTGACTTCTCGGTCGGTACCGGTTTATATACCGGGAACGACAGCGACGGGTGCGCCATGATCTCGGGCACCAAGCGCAGCATCTTTTCCGTAAAGTAGGACGTGACCAGCTTCTGCGCATGCGCTGCCACGTCGTCCCTAGCGACAGAAAATGTCTCATAACTCGTTTGCAACGAAAACTCTAGACAATACGAGGTGGCCGTGGCGTGCTTGGTGGCAAACTATGATCTCGCATCAGCACCAATGACACGCGCGCGTCACGAGCGTACCTCAAAGCGGCGCTTGATAAACTGACCCACGAGAATCATAAAGTACTCGTCGACGCCCTGCGGCAGGTAGCGCGCCATGTTCCATTTCGAGAGCAGCGTCGGGTCCGTCTCGTCAACTCCCACGGCCATGCCGCCAAAGTTCTCAATGTCGTAGAACAACATGTGCGAGAGGTACTAACACACAGAAGTATGTTATAACATCGGTAGACAACTTGTTGTTCTCGAACCTGCACGGGCGTCAAGCTCAACACTTGATACCACGGGTGCGCGCTCAGCGTGCGTGAAATGAAGCGCACGTAGGCGTGGGCCCCTTCGAGGCTGTCCTTGCCCGTCGAGAGCACAATCTGCGCCACAGTTGATACATTGATACAATGATACTTACGCACCCGGGACGTGTCGGCGTACACAATGACGGCGCCGAGGCGACGGCACTCGGCGAGCAAGTTGAGCAGCAGCGTGTGCATGACGCCCTTGACCTTCTTGTGCAGTGCCGGGTCGTACAATTGCTAGTTGACAATCAGTTTCATCGATTTTGCCAACAGAAATACAACAATGTACCGACGACGGCGACGAGACCCAGCGGTAAAAGTGCTGGAGGAGGTGGTCGGCCATCTCGGACCGCGTCGCCATAAAGTCCTTGAAGAGGTTGGTCGTCAGCGTGCGCAGGAAGCGGAACGTCTCGGCGCACGACCCGAGCTCCTCCACGATACCTACAGTTGCGACAAAGAACATGAGTCGATACATTGAAAGTATGCAACGCTACCGGCGCCGCCGTCGTGGTGCAAGTCGGACGCCACTAGCAGCGCTTGGATCGCAAGCCCATCAAGGGTGAGCTCGACGCTGAACTCGGCGTACGCGCCAGAGACGCACACGGGCAGACTGGACGTCGATGCCTGCAGCAGATCGTCCAGAGGGGCTTCGCGCCCGCCCAGATCTGGCGACTAGCATGCCCGATTCAGATAACACCAGAGGTAGACACCATGCGTACGTTGGTCGAGGACGCCCAGAGCAAATGCTGCTGCCGGTGGAGCACTCGCGCAAACATCGCGTCGAGCATGACGACCGCGGGGTCGCCCGTCATGTTGCCAAGCGGCAGTTGCGCATATCTAGCTCAACAAAGAAATAAATAAACATACAGATTTAAAGTGGGTTCGAAGCGTGTACCGCGCGCAATCGAGCACATCGGCCCACTGCGCGTCGACGGCCGCGACGCGCTGCAAGAGGCGCTGCGGCAGCTCCGAGCGCCACGTCAGCGCCGGGAACGGCTCGTGGTCCCCCAGCACGATCATGGGGAAAGCGTCGAGGCCCCGGAACTGGTGCCGGAGCTTCTTGGTCGAGAGCCACTGCGGCGCGTGGGCCATGACGATCGAGGGCACGTCGCGGCACTTGGCGAGCGCCGCGTTGAGACCCGTGACGACATCGGCGACCGACTGCACCATCGTCACCTTCATCGGCGGCAAGTTCGACGTCATTTCGAGCGCCGCCCAGTGGCTCTGCCAGTCCTTCTGCCGCAGTGGGACGTCTGCGCCCATAGGTCATTAGGGTTGGGTGTCAAGACGATAGCACGCACCCGAGAGCCCCCGGTCGACCATCCAATGCGACGCAGTCTTGATGTCGAGCGACGGTGTCAGCACGACGAGGCTCCACAGCCCCACCTGCTGCCTCGTGTTGGTGCCAACGTACAGCACGACACGCTGCAGCGGTGCGGTCTACAGCGCACATGACAATATGTCCATACAACACAGACCATGTACCTCGCTCAGATACGCAGCCGGCGACAGGCTCTTGGGCTGCAAATCGGCGAGCGCAAAGAGGTGCGTCGTCATGTTGGACGGTTTCGTGAGCACCTTGGCGACGCACCTAGTCTTGTGTACAACTTGTCTGCGAGTCGATCGACAGCGTACCCAAGTGTCCAGAGCGCGCGGGACGTAGCCGTCACGTGGGACTCGTACACAGCTTGGATCGACGCGTCGTCCATGGCCTGAAGCACGTCCTTGCGGTTTGACTTCCACTGCGTTTCGCTCAGCTCGAGCTCGAGCACGAGCTGCGGCGACGATTGGTGCGGCACGAGGCGCGTCACGAACCGGCCGTCGAGGTGGCCCACGTCGCCTTGGAGGTAAATGGTCTTTGGCACCTTGAGTGTGAACGACTGCAGCTTGCTACACAAGAAGACTTGCTTTCCAACGACCGACCGCGCATTCGTACCTGGCGCCCGACGACGTACACGCCCAGATGTGAAACAAACCCGGCTCCTCCCTAGACCGAACATGACGTCGCACGCGTCATCGCCTCGACAGCGTACGTTTCTTGGAGCTCGACAATGTGCCACAAGTCGTCGTCCTTGGCCATCGTCGACGATGCGACCACAAAGCCTTCGACGCCACTGCCCTTGGCGCGCTTGGCCGCCTACGTTGGACAACCGGGTTGGTCAAGCGCTTGATTTGGCGCACGCACCCGTGGGTCGTCGTGCAGCGTCTTGCGCGCCAGTCGTTTGGCTTTCCAGCCAGCCTTGCGCACCTGCAGCCACTCGGGAAACGCATCGTGGCCCAGCTGCACCGCCCGCTACCTCGCTGCATGAGTGACACCATGGCGATACGACGCCGCACCATCTGTTCGACCACAGAGGCCGTCTCATCGAGGGGCTCGGGCTCGATGACGCCCATCGCGTCATCGTCGCCTTGGTTGTCTTCGTCGGCGACGACCGGCTTGGTCTTTCTTGTCACCACGGGACGGGGCGCCGTGCGCAAGGGCTTGGGTGCGGCGCCAAAGTCTTCCATGTCGGCCACGTCCAGCACCGCGTTCTTGTTTCGCGGAAGGACTTTGAACCTAGCGCGCGTTGCTGCACTGCTCAACGTAACATAAATACCCGAGCTTGGTCTGGCGCTTGGTGTCGTTGAGCTCACGGAACCGGCGCTGCATCCAGTCGGGGAGCGCGATGCGCGGGACGGGGTTGGGAATGTTCTGAAAGCACGCGGGCAGTGAAATGATCTTTTGGACCGTACCGGCAAAGCTATTCATGACATTTGACATTTGAAATTGGGTTGTGAACACATAACATATACCGGGTGCGGTAGTAGTCCCAATCGAGCAAATTGCGCACGTCAAAGTCTTGCAAGCTCGGGTCGCGCATCCACTTGCGCAAAAAGTGTTTTTTCACCTACATGTGTCGTGAAATATGACTTTGAAAAGACACGAATCACACCGCAGGCTCGGCCGAGAAGATCGCAGTCGGCACGGCGCGCTCGGTGACCTTTTCGCCGTACGGCCGCGTGACGATGATGAGCTTACACGCGAGACCCTTGTCCTTGACCATTTCAGCCCCAAGGAACTCGCCGAGGCGCCGCGCGGTCGTGATGGCCGTTGATTTTTGGCTGCCGTAGTCTTCGAGTTTGCCCGACATGCTCTTGTTCTCGGTCAGGAGCGCCATGACCTCGTCGTCTTCCATGTCGCGGCCTTTTGTGTCGAGCACGTCCAGCCTACAATTCCACAATAGGATATTGTTAGCAATTTTTGCAATTTTTGCAATAGGTATTGGGTCGCACCAGCGGTTGGCGATCTGCGCCACGGACGCATAACACTCGGCGAGCGTCGTGCCGTCCAAGAACGAGCTAAAGACTTGGCTCTGGAACGCCTTAATGAGCTCGAGCTCGCCGCGGCGCTTGAGCTCGAACCCTAATGCGGCGGGTTAGGGTTCGGAGCGCGTATTGCGATCGTCCGGACCTTTGAGCTCGGTGAGCTTGTTGTTAAAGTTGAAGACGGCGTAGCGCTTCTTGAGCAGCTTTCCCTCCTCCGTGGACGCCGGCAGCACCATGCACTTGTACGGCCCGTCGAGCTCAAAGAAGATCGAGCACTCGGAGCGCGTTTGGTATATGCCTACAAGCCATTCAGGCTCACTTCCCACACGATCGATGCCTACCGTCAAGCTGCTCTTCGTACTGGTGGTTGGTGTACTGCTCTTCAATGTCGGCGTTGAGCATCACACAGGGATATGTAATCGACCTACACCGCGCCAAACAGATGAAAATTAGACTCTATCACGAAGAGAGATACCGGGTCGAGCCGTCTTGGAGCTTGAACTTGAACGTGTCGGGGAACGACGCGGGGAGAATGGCCCAGATACCATCCGTGTCGAGCTCGAGCGGGCGACCGATTTGCTCGACGAGCTGGCGCGCGCGCTGAATGATGTTACTGCCCGTGTTGGTCACGATGCCTGCCATCTCCATCGAGTGCCACCGCGCGCCCTTGCGCATGACGTAGCCGTAAAACGAGTTGAGAATGCACTTGTGCGCCAGCTGGAGCGAGTCGAACACGAGGCACTTGTTGGCGGCTTCGACCTTCCCAAGGACGTCTAGCCCCATGTCAAACGCGATCAATTAATCAACTCCAAGATACCGTGCTTGGCTTCGGCCTCCTTGAGCTTCTTGGTCCACTGCTTGGTCAAGATCTTGTAGTCGTAGCGACGGTCGCGGAACGCGCGGACCGTGTTGACGTAAAATGGGTTCTCACGCATGCACACCTACCCCCACCATGGACACGATATATCACTGGGAGGTACCTACCGTCGCAGACCGCGTCTCGGTCGACGTGACTTTGGTCTTCTTGTACACAGTTTGGCAATACTGCTTGAGACGCTCTTGGACCAGCGCCGTCTGCTTCTCGTACGGCAGCTGCTTGAACGGCACCTTGTTGAACGACTCGTAGCTGAGCTGCGTCTGAATCGACTGGAACTCAGCGTTGGTCGCGGGGTAGTAGTCACCGCGCCAGACCCACTCCATCGGCCGCTGGCACGAGAGCTGCTCGTCGTTGCTACAAAATGCATGAGATCACATACCTAGAGAAAGCAACACGTACGAGGACATGCACGCAGTGCTGTGGACGCACGCTGCACAGTCGGTCGGCTGCACCATCGCGCAGGGCTGGAGGCGGTTGGTGAGAATGATGTTGGGGTACATGGCCGCGACGTCCAAGTGATAGATGCTCGGCTTCTCCATGCGCGACGGCTTGTCCCGCAGCATCTCGAGGCCTTCGACGATCGCGCGCCGCACGTCGTTGTAGTTGGTCACGTGGTGCCGCGGAATGTCGAGCTCGACCTCGAGCGCAAACGTCAAGTCGCGGTCAATGTGCGTGATCAACATCTACGCGGATCTGTCACGCCACGTAATCCGGTCGTAGATTACGTCAAACGCCGACGGCGTCACGTGGAACTGGTACTCGAGGTCGGCGCGGAAGACGCCGCTCTCCAAGCACTCGACGTGCCCTCCAATGTACGTCTCGCTCTCAACCACATGGCCTTGGTACGACGCGCCTACAGATTGAACCGAGGCGTGAGCCAGAGAACTCGCATGCTTGCTCTCGGACCGAGCGCCGTCGACGTCTGTTTGTTGGGGCAAATGATGTTGCCTTCGTATGCCTCGACCATGAGCAGCGCTTCGCAGAGCGTGCCACTGCCCTTGCGCAGCACGTCTTCGCTCCCGAGCGGAATGATCGTGCAGAGCGAGAAGACAAACAGGTGCACGTACTTGTCGTACCTACGCAACCATGGTCCAACATGCAATGTCAACCACCGCGTACAGGTAAAAGGTCGCGACAGCGTCCGACACCGAGTAGCTCGCCATCTTGAGCGGGTCGTCCATCGCCAGCGACGTCATTTCTTCCGGGTCGACTTCGACCGGGTCGTACCCGAGCTTGTACTTGGTGACGGCCTTGAGGCCTTGCGAGCCCTGCGGCAGATACGAATCGCGCTTCACCCAGCAGTAGGCGTCCATGTGCACGGCGCACTTGCCGCGGTACTCGCCGTTGCGGTCGCGGGAGATGCCAATCGCGGTCGTCATGTTGAGGCCATGCACCTCGGCGCGCGTCTCGACGAACGGCCAGTCGAAGAAGTCGCCGTTGTACGTGACAAAGATGTGCGGGTTGAGCTCGGTCACGTGAGCGAAGAAGCGCTTGAGAAGCGCTTCTTCGTTCGGCGCGTTGAAGCACTCGAACGGCCCGTCGTACTCAGCGGTCGGCGTATACTCAAAGTCGTCGACGTCCTGCGACACGAACTCGCGGTTCACAATGAGATAGCCCTACAATTTTACTGTGAGCTCCACGAAATCTCCAGCAAGAATTGAAAGTTTGTGAAAAAGAACACGATTGATGCCAACACAGCCACTTTCGTCGACGACATTGGACGTGTAGGATGAAAAAGACACCAAGTTTTCATGCAAAATGGCCCAGAACCGGCATGGCACCAAACACGAAATATGAAAAAAGGGAAAAAAGGGAAAAAAGAGGAAAAAAGAGGAAACAATTGGGAAAAATGGAAAATTGAAGAAGCAAGGTGTACCTGGCGATCGACCATGTACGAAATCATGTAAATCTGGTCGTGGGCCGCGTCTGGAAACTTGAGCGGCGCCTTGGTACACTCGATATCAAACGCGAGGACGACCGGCTCGGCCTTGTCGACCATGTCCATAATCTAGGCGCGTTCCATAGGAATATATGGATATGGACAAAGAGTCGAGCGTACCCGAGACACTTTGGTCACTTCTTGCTCGACGTGGACCGTGTACCACGCGCCGACGCGGATGCCGAGGTCGATGGCCACGCGCATGAGGTACGGCACGTCGTACTCGCGCAAGTCCGTGATCGACTCCTTATCGTTGAGCGACTCGCCAGACGCCGCGTACGCTTCTTGGGACTTGAGCTGCTGCTTGTTGCGTGTCACAATTGGCTGCAGCGTCTGCTTGGCCTCGACCAAGTCCGACACCTACCACAACGCCGCCTTAGCATGCACCTCGCTGGTCCATGCATACCGTCCGGAAGACGAGCTTGATGTACTGCGCCTTTGTGCCCGAGAGATGGTTGGGCATGTCGAGGTCCTCCATCTGCACAATGCTCGTCGAGAGGAGCGTCGAGACGAGCGTCCGCTGGCAGAATCTATGACCAATCGCTATTGCAGTCGTCGTCGATACGATGGGCAACGTACGCAAGCGCTTCGCCGAGGCGCTTGGGCGAGGCGCCGACGAAAAAGTACGGCGCATGGATGACCGTGGCCTTGAACGCGCTGCCGTCCTGCGCGAGAAAGTAGAGGTCGACGCCGCTGCGCTCGACGTTCTCGACGGTGCGCGACGTGTTGCATGCGTTCAGAAGCCTACGCGACGCTAGGCCAAGCGCATTTACTCACAGCTGCGTACCAGCCGATCTGCGGCCCGTCGTCGTCTTGGAGCGGTGCAAAGCCATGGGCAAGGTCGAAGGCATCCTGCCGCGCGACGCTCGCGGCCTTGTCGTCGTTCATGGAGCGGCCGGCCACGTTGGAGCGCGCACCCTGCGAGTTCTTGGCCCACGCGGACCCACCGCCGCCGGTCGGCCGGTTCAGGCGCTTCGTGGACATGGCTCGTTGGCGCGACGACAAATGAACCAATCACGGGCCAAACCTCTCGCGCGAAGCCAAGACTCGGGTATTTTATTTTACAAAAGCGTACGCTTGTATTGGATATTTGTATATCGAATATAATGTTGAGTTGTATTGTTTCCATCAACTGCCGCGGATTTTAATTCGAAGCTCGGCCAACCTGGGGCCGGGCAAGGACCAAGGACCAAGGACGTTCGCGCTCTCCCTCGCCCCTCACTGCTGCGCACAGCGCCCTGTTTGCTACGGTACACGTCTGATCGTCCTCTGTAGAGGAGGCCATGGGCGTACAGACGCCGAAATTCGAGTTCAAACACTGTTTATGATGCAGCTTTTCGCCACATTTGCACCGCTGGTCGAGACAACGGCTCGTATGGCATTGGACCGGCTTGGACCACGCGCCTTGCGCGTCCCATCACGGCGTCGCAGACGAAGCAACAATCTCGGCAATGGTAGATTGCAAGAGATAGACTGTCATGGACCGTACGTCATGTTCATTTTCGTGTCATTTACTCCTTGGGCTCGAGCTTGATGACCTTGCCGATCGCGATTGTCTTGCCTTCGTCGCGGAGCGTCAAGCGGCCGAGCTGCGGGATGTGATCGAACGTCTCAATGCAGATGCTCTGGTCGACTTCAATGCGGCACACGACGCTCTGGCCCGTCTTGACAAACATGACCTTCTTCTTGAGGATCTCGCCCGTCTTGGGGTCCACGGGGCGCTACACCAAGTGGTCATCGATGGCTTTGTCAGAGCGCAAACGTACGAGAAGCTTGGAGATCGTGCATTCTTGGGCGATCGTGTGAATGTGCAGAATGGCCTTGTAGCCAGCCGTGAGCAGCGGGCGGTGCTCCAAGTTGTCGACGAACGCGATCTGCGCCACAAAGCTCGTGACGGGCTTGACGTCGTCGGCCGGCGCCGGGCAGAGCACGAAACCTAACACGAAAATAAGCGGCCATGACGAGACTATGAAGGGACGTACCCTTCTGGAGGTCTTCGAGGTTGCACGTGAGGCGCATGAGCACGTTCTCGCCGGGCTTGGCCGTGCGCACAGGCTTTTCATTGATGTACACCTGCGCGACGGTCGTCCGCGTGTTGGTCGGCTTGATCACGAGCTTCTGGCCCGTCGTGAGGACACCGGACTCGACCTTGCCGAGCACGATGGTGCCACGCTCCTGGTAGCGGTCGAGGACAGGGACGCGGAGAGCGCCCTGCGGGTTGCGGCCGAGGATCGCCATCGTGTCGAGGTGGTCAATGAGCGACGTGCCTTCGTACCACGGCGCGACCGACGACTCGACCTTGGTCTTGATGTTTTCGCCCGAGAGACCCGAGATCGGGATGAAGGCGACATCGCGCTTGACGGCAAAGCCGCAGCTCTACATTTGCAGAAGCATGAGCGCCATGGGGATACGTAATGGAGAAATGTACGCGAAGGAACGGGCGGAGCTTCTCGACGCACTCGTCGAAGCGCTCCTTGCCCCACTTGGCTTCGTCCATCTTGTTGATGACGACGACGAGCTTGTTGATACCGAGAGTCTTGGCAAGCATCGCGTGCTCGCGCGTCTGGCCACCGCGCTCAAAGCCCGTCTCGAACTCGCCCTTGCGCGCCGAGATGACGAGGATACCGACATCGGCCTGCGCCGCGCCCTGGATCATGTTGGGCACGTAGTTCTTGTGGCCCGGTGCGTCGAGGATCGTAAAGCGCTTGCTGGCCGTCTCGAAATGGGCGCGGCCGACCTCGACCGTCTTGCCCTTGGCGCGCTCCTCTTCACCCGTGTCCATGATAAAGGCAAGGAACCACGAGTCGCGGTTGCGCGCCTTCGCCTCCTTCTCGAAGCGTTCGATCGTACGCTTGTCGACCATGTCCATAAGGTACAAGATGTTGCCCGAGAGCGTCGACTTGCCAGCATCGACGTGGCCGATCAAGACAACGTTGATGTGCTCGCGGGGATCTTCCTCGCCAATCTCCTCTTCGCCAATGAGCTCGACCTCTTCCTCAGCGTCCTCAACAACAGCCGGCTTCTTCTCTTCGACCTGCTTCTTCTCCTCGACGGGCGCAGCCTTGGCGACGGTCTTGACCGGCGACTTGGGCGCCGCCGGCTTGGGCGCGGCCACCGGCGCAGGGGCAGCGGGGGCGGCCGGCGGAGCGGGCGCCGCAGGCTTGGGGGCAGGCGGCGCGCCCGACGGGATCGGGGGCGCCCACGTCGACGCCGACGGGTTGAAGGAGAAGGTCTTGGCGTTCGGGTTCAAGCTCATGCTGCTGCTGATCTTAGGCTGTGAACCAACAAATGACCAAGTGGCCAAGCGCAACTTCGCGCATTGAATTGCGCGTCTTTTTATTGTCCTATTTTCCCAATGTACTTGGTTTTTGTATGTACAAGGGTATCGAGCGCATTAAAACCGACCTGAATTTCGTTGTCTTTGGGTGAGCACTCCAAAAAAGACCAATCAGCGACGACGCCAGCGCAAAGGCAGCCAATGGCATGCGATCGAATTCCCATTTTGGCCAATCACGCGCATCAACGCTGAGGCCGGCAACCATGAATGGCGGTCGCACGACGCATGCAGCGGGACCAGGCCAGGAGGACGATGGTCATCATGAGGATGCTGCGGATGATGGTAGAGCGCTGTAGCTGCATATCCATGGCGCCGCCGCGGGCGTCGATGCCATGCCATGCGAACGATGGCGGCTACGAGAGCGAACATGTTGTCGGACGACAAGCTTTCCTGCAAATATCGCGCTGTCGTCGTGCTGGCTATGTAAAAGATGGCAGGATGCAATCAGCGACTGCCCTGCATGTGGCATCATCGTAAGCAGCATGCGGGTAGGGCGAGGCCGATCACAGACAGGTAAATGCATTGTAGCATATCTACTTGGGCGTCGAGAGGAGGCTCTCGAGGTTGGCCTTGAGCTGCTCGTTGGCTTTTTTGAGCAGCTCGACCTCGTCCTGGTGCTTCTTCTCGTCCGAGAGCCGCTTCTCTTCTTCGCGCTTGGTGATGGCGTCACAGCGCAGTTTGAGCCTACGCGCCTCCGTCATCCATAGACGAGATACCAAGCGTACTCTTCGACTTGGGACACGAGCTCGTTCCGGTCGGCTTCGAGCTGCTTGAGCTTGAGTTCGGCGTCCATCTTCTTTTGCTCGGCCATGAGCGCTTTGCGCATCCTACGCATACACTGACGCTACCGCTTCCTCTCCGTGGCATCTACCCAAACGCAATGCTGCTTTCATACAGCGTCTGGTACGCCGAAATCGACATGCGCGTCTCGACACGGACCCGCAGCAGGAGCAGCCCACGCTCGGCGCAGTTGATGGTGATTTGGCGAATGAGCTCGTCTAGTGCCATCTCTGAACAGCCTTGTCAGCACCACGCTCGTCTACCAAAGCACTGGGCGTAGAGCTCTTCGCGGACAGGGCAGATGCCGGTCTCGCGCGCTTGCTTTTGCTGGAGCTTGAGGTCTAATTGTTCCTACCACGACCTCGGATTTCATTCTGCAAGCGCGGCCGGATACCTGGAGGTTGATGACGTCGAGGCGCGTCGCCGGCGTGCTCGACACGTACTGCACCCAGAGCTGGCCGTCTTCCGTCCACTCTCTAGACACAGAGGTCGTTGCATTTAGAGAGCTACCATGGCGCGTCGTACTTGGGCGGCAAGATCGAGTTCAAAATGTCTTCGGTCTGCGTCGAACTGGCGGCCGCGATCGACGGAATCCCGCCGGGCGCCGGGCCCTTCTCCGCATCCTTCTTACTCTTCTTACTTCCGCCGGCCTTCTTGTCCTTGGTCGTGCTGATCAAGATCGGGCTGTCGTACTTGACCAGCGAGCTATGGGGCGGCAACATGGCGACGGTTCAACGCAGTGTGGATCTTCCCCGTTTCAAAACCTCAAAGTTGCGTGTTTCAAGTGAAATCCATCTGCTGGACGGAGCGAGAACGCCACTTGGTAGTCGCCACAGGCTTGCAACCGTGGACGACCACAAGACGTCGGTCGAGGGCCTGTGGTCAATGTACTTGTAGGCCGACATGCATGCAGCCGTCGAGGTCTTGCACCAAACGACCCGCAATCGAGCAGGCCATCGAACCGTCGCATGCGTAACCGGTTGGACGGTCCAACCGGTCGAGTCGGCTAAAACCGTCGTTTCTGATTGGCGCCACGACGGTGCAGGCTGCCGGTCACCTTCCTCCCGACGACGTCAACCGCGAGGCTTAAGTCATAGAACCGACGATGCCTGCCCTCGGAGAAACGTTGACAGACTTCCTCGCCAAGGCGTCCGCCCGCACGCCCAAGGCGATCCTCTCCAAAGTCGCGTCCGCCTGTATCGAGATCCACGAGCTGGTCCAGCAAGGCGCGCTCGCCGACGTGATTGGGTCGGCGCAGACCGACAACGTGCAAGGCGAGGTGCAGCAGAAGCTCGACATTCTCTCCAACGACGCGATTCTCAACGCATGCGCTACCGAAGCCTCGCTTGGCGGCCTCTGCTCGGAGGAGCACGAGACGTTTTACCCGGGCGCGGTCGCCGGCGAGTACCTCCTCCTCTTTGACCCGCTCGACGGCTCGTCCAACATTGACGTCAACGTGTCGATTGGCACAATCTTCTCGATCCTGCGCCGCCCGTCGACGGCGACAGCGGTCACGCACGCCGAGTTTCTGCAGCCCGGGGCGCGCCAGGTCGCGGCCGGCTACGTCATCTACGGCCCGCAGACGATCCTCGTGCTCAGCGTCGGCGACGGCGTCCACATGTTTACGCTCGACACGGCGGCCAAGCGCTTTGTGTGCACGCGCCACAACGTCACGATCGCGCCCGAGACGAAAGAGTTTGCGATCAACATGTCCAACATGCGCCACTGGGACGCGCCGGTCCGCCGGTACGTGGACGAGTGCCTCCTCGGCAGCCAAGGCGTCCGCGGGAAGGACTTCAACATGCGCTGGATCGCGTCCATGGTCACTGAGATCCACCGTCTTCTGACGCGCGGTGGCGTCTTCATGTACCCGTGGGATGCCCGGTACCCGGAGAAGCCGGGCCGCCTCCGCCTCCTGTACGAAGCCAACCCGATGAGCTTTCTCATTGAGGCGGCGGGCGGCGCAAGCATCAACGGCTACGAGCGCATGCTCGATGTTCGACCGACCGAATTGCACCAGCGCGTCTCCGTCATCTTGGGCGCCAAGCATGAAATCGAACGTATCGCGAAGTACCACGCGACCGCCGCCAAACCCAACCCCCTCGCCCGCATGTGACGGAATACCTGGCTTGCACTGCTGGGTGATATGACTCTATTGGTCGTTGTTGCTGCTATAACTCAATCGTAATGGACGCGTACCTTGTTGTTGTTTCCTTGGTTCAGTGAAGTGGTCGGTAACAAGGAGTACATGTGAAAAGGATGGTATACAGATAACGTGTTTACGGTTAACAAAGATGCTAGGATGATCGAGCGACGCGTCTTACCAGCCGCCACCCGTGTTGCCGCCACCGGTGTTGCCGCCACCGGTGTT